GTAGGACACTACTGCAGTTGTTTCAAATTTGTGGTTAAGCAATGATTGATTATATCAATTTCAAATAAATTGCTAACATTAATATGTTACCTAAGTTGAAACCGATACTTGAGTTTTAAGAGTTCTGAACTTACGGAATCTGAACACGTCTCTTTTCTTTCAATATTCTCTATTTGAGAGAAAAAAATATGACAAACCACACTAAATTTCATAGTTAATTATTGAAATTTATTATTAGATACAAGGTGGTGATCCAACAGGAACAGGTTATGGTGGAAAATCAATATGGAATAAACCATTTCGAGATGAATGTAATCCAAAATTACAACATACTGGACGAGGAATGTTAAGCATGGCTAATTCAGGACCTAATACAAATAAATCTCAATTGTAAGTTTAAAAGTATTTTCAAAAAAGTTAAAGAATCATTTATATTTTTAGCTTTTTTACTTATCGTACATGCAAAGGACTCAATGGAAAACATACAGTATTCGGAAGGTAAATTAAAAACAAAAAATAATTAACTTATTTTTGTTTATTCATATGTATAGAATTGTTGGTGGTATTGAAACACTTAGTGCAATGGAAGCTATACCAACCGATGATAAAGATCGACCACAAGTAAGAATAATTTTTCATGAAAATCAATTGTTTAATTATGATTTTGTTCTTTTCGTTTAGACTGATATTTTAATAGAAGATACAATTGTATTTGTTAATCCATATGATGAAGTTGATGCAGAAGTAAAAATCTTTTTCTTTTTTTTCATTAAATAGATTTTTGTTTTTATTGAAATCAATCTTTTCTGTTTAGTTAAAAGCTGAACGTGAACGACAAGATAAACGTGAAGCTGAAGAAGAAAAAATGAATGCAACAGTTCGTTCAGCAAAATCAGCAAAATCTTCTACAACGAACGATACATTAACAAATCAAGCATTTCGATCAGGTGTTGGAAAATATATTTCAAGTCAATTCTAGTAAGTTTTTCTTATTTCAATACTTTCTATATATTTCTGTTTTTTTTTTTTTTAAATTAGTCCAAATGCTAAACAAGCTTCAGCAGCTACTGATGAAGATAATGAATATACACAAAAGAAAAAAAGAAAATTAGCTGCAAGTAGTTCAAGTGGAACATGGAATTTTAATCAATGGTGATTATAATTGACACTATTTTTTTGTTGTATTGTAATAAAAATACTTTTTTTTGTAACGGTTTTGAATAAATGATGTTCGTCGATGTATTTCTTGAATTTGTTTTCATAACTATATGATTCATTTCAGAGTTGCCTTACTCTTTCCTTTATTATTATGGCTAGTATGGCCAGCAACATTCAGGTCTCAGTTTTTCTAATTGATTTCTATACTTTACTAAATTTCTTTTTTTTATTATTAATGATAGAAAATCATTCGTCATCATGTCCCATTAATTCGATTTAAATACGGTGCAAATCAATCCGGTATGAATTTATGTTTTAAATATATTTTAAATAAATGAAATAATCCAAATAGGTTCAGTTACTCATGCATCAACAGAAAGTAAAAGTGGCTCGAGTATGGCTCAAACAATTGGTGCTTCATCCCAATCTAAAGTTGGTCAAAAATCAGCTCCATTAGAATTTTCTCAAACACCTAAAAAATATCGACGACGTCCTTTAACTCAAGATGAAATTGATCTTATAGCAGTAAATAATTTTCTTTTTTTTTATTCATTCTCGTTTTATATAAAAAAATCTTTTTTTTTTATAGGTTGGTGGATTTACTTAATCGAAATTCTTTAGAGATGGACATTTAGTTAGCATAGGCAAGCCCAATTTATTCTATATCAGCTGTGTGCACTGAACTTTTTCTTTTTCACTTTCCAAAATAAAAATAAACAATTTAACGAAATCGCGGTCGATATCTTATACCATCTTTATCATTCGATTCAATATCAAGTACAGTAAATGCACGTGTCATACTATCTGCTGGTATCCAATTATCTAGTTGAATAACTTCATTAACAGTTTGATTATGTTCACGTTGACGTTCTTTTTCTTCAAAATCCTTTTCATCAATAATTGGTATTGTTTCATTTTTCATTGGTACAAATGTTTTTTCATGTCCATATCGTTTTTTAATACGTCCAAAATTGATAGCAGGTAATGTTGAACCAAATTTATAAAAATCTGGTGATAATTCAACCATACGATAACTTTTATCACCTTCAGATCTTTTTTGAAGACCATTACGTACATCTAAAACTTTTTTTTTATGTCCTATTTGTGCCATATGAACATTTTCATCACCTAAATCTTCTAATGAACGAAAATGTATATTAGCAAAAAGATTTCTTTTCGATGAATGACTATCTGCTGATTCATCACTAAAATAAATCCATTCATTTTTTGAACGTTGCCAATTTTGAGGATGTGGACGCATAAAATGTATATTTCGTTCAATAAAACTAACTGGTAATGTAGGTTTAGCATTTGGATTGCGTGGAGATGGAATAGGACGTATACGAGAATGCCAATCAGGTCCGATACTTAAACAAAATTTCATATATGAGAAAAAGAAAATCAGACATTCCGATTTATATAAATGTATTGTTTGGTTTTTGATAAAATTTAATTTTTAATTGTTTAATATTTACTTTGAATAAATTGGTTCGATGTGGTGTCCATGCGGACGCCATTGCTCATCTTCCAATGGAGGTGAAGGTATATGAGCACGACCTCTTGGTTTATAAAGTGATTCACTTAAAGTCAGACGATGTTTTCCTGGATAATGTCGACGATCATATCCTGATTAAAATAATACAACAAAAACATAATTAAAGACATCTTAATCTTAATTTTAATCACCGTGATAACCAGATTTTTCTAAATCATAATAAAGATGTAATGTTGCTGAATTTGAATAAACCATAATGCTCTTTATTATGTAGTCAAATGGTGCGTTTTTTTTTCTATTATTGTTTTTGTTGTCAATAAGGTATCCATCAACTGCTTTTAAAACGAAGAAAAATTTTTTAAAAAAAAAGTGTTTTTTTACTTTTTTTTACCTTGCAAATGGTGCATACAGACAATGTAATGTGATGATCAATTTCTTCTCGTTCTTTTCGTCGTAATGGATTCGTATCCGGCCATTATAATATGAAAGTTTTTTTTTGTCGGATGTTTATTCAAAATTTAAATTTTGCTTTTATTCTATTGAACCGACAAGTAAATATGAAAAGAAAGTTTACGCATACTTAACCGACGTCGTACGATTGATATTTTTATCGGTTGATTTTTTTCATGTGGTTGTTGTTAGCCTTGTATTTTTTGAATGTTTTGTTTTTCGCGCACGTGACAAAAAGAAATTGTCAATCTGTTAAATTTCAGTTACTTAAAACCAAATATTCTTATTTATCTATATTCAGTTCTTAATATACAAGTGTTTGATTAATTTAAAATCACGAAAAGTTTGAGAAAAAAATATTTTCAATCGATCGTATTTGTACTTTGTTTAAATGCAAAATAATACTGACAAGCTTATAAAGACTATCGATGTCACTAAATATGAGCAGTTCAAAAAGAGAAAAATGTTTAGTTGATAAGAAACAATAATACGAAGTGGTAGCAATTGAAAACTCACGACTACTCATGTCACAAGTATGTTTACACTACTGTCAGTATATTGTGGTACTCAAAAGATTAGGTGGTAATGCTTACAACTTTTGTTTCCATCTATAAACGATTACAGAGAGTGTTTTCTACCTCAATTTAAATTGTTTATTAAAAGAATTTAAATTAACGAAGAAAAAAATAGTTTCAGAATCTATTTTATCAATAAAAGATTTTCTAACGCCATCTATAATAATAATTTACGTTACAACTAGAGCTGATTTCAGCTCTGAAGCTATTACAGATGGCTCAGATCCGTCAACATTACCAGTGTGCGTCAAAAACTATCTAATCTGCCACTTTTAACATACTTATAAAATGTTCACTGGTTTTGAAACAATACTTCATGATACAACACTCAAAAAACAACAGGTGATAGTTTCTCGGTATAGTTATCACATAGGTAGTTTGATTATATTTTCACAATATATTCGTGATAATTCAACCATAAGTTTTTGTGTCAATGTCACAATGTCTGTTTATATAATTCAAACTAGCTGAAAACCGCCGTTATATCGGCAATCTATCGGAAATAGTTATAAATAAACATGCAATATGAGTCATCTTTTAGAAATTAAAACCTAGTACAAGTCGGATCAAGAATCAGTGATAGATAAATGTTAAAGTTAAACTATACATACATACTTATTGAATAATCATGCATATTTGAAATAAGAGTAAGTCAAAAGTTTTCAGGCAAAATGATCCTTTGTTTTTTGACCTATTCAAAAGGATCAATAGAAATTTTAAAACATTGGATTAAAATCAGATTTTTGAGACTTTTCTTAATCTAGTTTTACAGCTAGGAGTAAATTCTTGAACGGTCTGAAAATAAAGTTTTTCGGACCGTTCAAAGGTCTCTTCATTATTTCGAATCTAGCTTTGGCAAGAACACAAGATTTTAAACTTAACCAAATGTTGTAAAAGTTGTTTTGGTTCTCTTAATCGAGTGAAACATGAAAAAAAAACACATATTTGTATGTTTAAAAAAATTTGTCATCAAGTTTTTTAGGTTTTTCTCCTTCTGTATAAAATTACTAATAATTGATCGACTTGTTTTAAATAAATTCCTGTCATGATTTCATACTGAAAGCTTTTGAAATTTTGTTTTTATTTTGAACTATCACCTTAAATAGCGCATTTGACACCAAATAAGGATAAGCGTAAATCAAATTTACACACGTCATTATCTTATCACAAAATAAGAAGAATGAAATATGAAGCAATAGTCATTGCAATATAAATCATAGATAGTATTTCTTTGTGTATTTTGTTTGCATTTCTTTCCAACGTCTTTATTTTTCTTGGTTATATTTTCTTAAATTATTGAGCAAGTGAATACAAAATTCAAAATGGTCAAGGTATGTCTTATTGTTTAGAAACAAAAAACAGAAGAAGTCTTTATTTTATTTAGAAATCGAATGGTATTGAAAATCCTACATTTGTATTGAATCACCAATCATCTGAAATAAATACTAGACATGGAATAATAGTAACAACGAAATTACAAGGGATAGACGAAGTAGATGACGATGAGGAGGAAGAGGAAGAGGATAAAAATAATTTAGGTTTTGAAAAATTATCTGGTGAAGGTCATCGTATTGGTTTATTTGTGTTGAAAATTCGTCAACGTTTAAGTCAACTGATTGAAAAAGAAAAAGTAAAAAAAATTTTATTTTGTATCATTTCATTTTAGTTGAGTTTTTTTCATAGACTATAGCAATTTATGGATTAAAATTAATCTTTATAATTGGTTTTATAATCTATTTTGGATTTGCAATGAGTAAAAACTATGGTACACCCGTTTTTCCTATTCATGGAAATATTTTTCGTGGAAATTCTGGTATCATTTGATAAAAAGAATCAATTTTTATTCATAAAATTCATTTAGGTTTTGCTTTATTCTTTTTGGTAATCTTTACGATATTTGTTATTGCATGGGAAAAATTCATTGGACGTTCTATTGAACGTTTATATCAACATATTTCAACATCAATTGAAGAAAATGAAACTTGGATTACCATTCGTAATATTATATATAGATTTTCTTGGTAATCATTTTTCTACTAATACTATTCAAACGGATGTTCATATCAGTTGAGACTTCTGAAAGCTTGGTTTGATCTTTTTCAATATATTTGTGACAGTCCTAGCTAATATACCTTACACAACCTGATCTGACAAAATCAATTAGATAGGATGAACGGGGTAATCAATAATTCAGTTCATATATACGTAGTCAATCATCAGATTTCTTCAAGTGAAAAGAACTAGTCACTGAGTTCCTTTCATCTAGAAAAGAATTGAACATCACTATTTCCATTAATATTGATAATTTTATCAATAGGATTTGGCATTGTTTAGTTTTTATTGCTATTGCTCTTTATGTTGGCTTAACAGTAGAAAGAACTCGAAATTATATTTCACTTATTGGTATTGTCACATTGATTTTACTTGGTACCATCGGTACTGAACTTGTTTTTTTTATTATTATAGAATTTAAACTATGAGTGTCTTTTGCTTTAATTAGGTTCAAAACATCCCCATCGAGTAAGTAGGAAAACAATGTTGCTTGTCAATTTGTACATCGATATATATGTATAATATAACATCATGAGAATTTAGATTCGCTGGAAAACAATATTTTATTCATTTGTTATTCAATTTCTTTTGGCTGCTGTTGTTATACGTAGTGAATATGGTTTTCAATTTTTTGAGTTTCTTGGAAAAGAAGTATCAAAATTTATGCAGTAATTTATTCTTTTAGATGATGTTCTATGAAGAAAACATTTATTTTTATTTAGTAATGCTCATAGTGGAGCAGTTTTTGTTTTTGGAAAAAAATATGAAGAACATTTTTTTGTATTTAAAGTAAATCTCTGATAGGAATGAAATCGTATTTTTATATATTTCTATGTCTCTTTTGTTCTCTTTTGTATATTAGGTTAGTTCAATAATTATTTTTCTTGGATCTGTAATTAATGTACTTTATTATTTGGGTGCTATGCAATACGTGATTGGAAAAATTGCATGGCTTATGCAAAAATGTTTAAATACAACTGCAGCTGAAGTAATTATTGATCATTTTTAATTTATAAAGAATTTTCATTAATTTAGTCAATGAATGCAGCTGCAAATATATTTGTTGCAATGAGTGAAGCGCCATTAATGATTATGCCATTAATACCTAAGATGACAACATCAGAACTTCATGCTGTATTAGTTGGTGGTTTTTCAACAATGTCAGGTTTGAAAATAGACTTGTACTTCGATATTTTTTTTTTAATGTATTTTATATTAGGGTCTATTCTTGCTACGTTTATTTTTTTCGGTGTTCCAGCAAATCATTTAATTGCTGCTAGTGTTATGGCTGCACCAGGTGCACTTGGATTTGCAAAACTTTTATTACCAGAAACACATCAGTCAAAAACAACTTGGGAAACAGTAAAAAATACTCCATTACCGTATGTTTTAATTAGTATTAAAAAATAATTAAATATAGACAAGTCCTAATTTTCTGTGCATAACAGAGATAAATAATAGATGTCATAAATGTTCTAGAACAAATGACATACTCAACTGTCTTTGATGTTAAGATTATTGTTTTTTTATTAGATAGACCGTGATCCCTTCTTTAGTATGAAAAATTTTGGTCGTAAACAAATTGTATATTGCAACAACGCCTTGTGCTTTTAAACTAAATTCATATCTAGATTGTGTATTTACTGAAAGTCTACTTGAGCGGAAGAGAAACTAATTTCAACGTACTTATTCTTGAAGGAGATCTGATTTCTGAAAATTTTGTAATTTTGCACAGAAGAAAGTTTTAACTATCGAATAGGTTTTAGGGAAACATCGGAAACAAGATGCGCTGAGTACTAGGATTATGAATTTTGTGCTTATAAGGGAGATGCTCCGATCGATTCCTCACTTTTAAGTCGGGACTATGTACATGATGCCAACGTCGATGAGCTATAAATATCCTGGAAAGACCTCAATTCGTTGGCTTATTGCTGAGGGTGTACTGCATTTGTACGGTATTTTTTATATGAATGATGTGGTCCTTTTCAGTCTTATTATTTGCTCTGATTCTGATATAATAATATCGAGTCTGCAGAAGTATGTCAGTAATGCACGACACATGTGTAGTCCTGACTTAAGAGTGGTTAGTTTATGGGAAAACGCTCTTTGTTAGCTAGGATCTATATAATTGTTCATTTAACCACCGAAAGTCAATCTAGATAGTTAAGCCATGGCAAGATATTGATTTTTTCCGATAAAGTAAAAGCTGAATTGAAGAACTTTCCGGTTTTTTTCGTGAGTTTGGAGCAAAAAAAAACAATTTTATAACTAGTATATCAATAGCAGTCAACTAAATATTGCGTTTTACAGCAGAGGTGATGATTCGTCTAGCAGTCCATAATACAACATCCACTCTAATAAACAAACAAAATTGGACATAGATTAGAATGCACTTTTGCAGTTAGAATTAAAACTTTTTTTCAAAATACTTGACTATAGTTTTTGTTTAGAGAACAACATAATGTCATTGATGCTTTATTAACTGGAGCAGGACATACATTAAAAATCTGTGGTTTTCTCATTGCAAATTTAATAGCATTTATCAGTGTTCTTCATTTTGCTGATACAGCTATCTCATGGTTGTTTAGTCTTATTCATCATCCAGAAATAAATTTTCAATTTTTACTTGGTTTACTTTTTTATCCATTTTCAATCATAATTGGTATCCCACTTCGTGATTGCCTTGTGTCATCCGAACTTATTGGAATAAAAATAAGTTTGAACGAAGTAAAATGTAATCATTTGTTAACTAATCTATAATGTCTTTTTTCGATGAGTAGTTTATTGCTTATCAAGAACTTGGCAAAATACGGCAATTGCGTAATGAACTTATATTAAATAATACATTTGCATTATATTTAAATGGTACATTAACATTACCAAATGATGTTCCTATGTTATGGGATGTAAATATATTACCTTTTTCTTTTGAAGAAAACATAAAGTTTCTTTGTTATAGGATAGTTCACCAATTATTTTAACTTATGCTTTATGTGGTAAATAATTTGGATATTTTATTTTGATATTTCATTGAGTAAGGTTTCTATTAGGATTTTCTAATTTTGGTTCAATGGGTATTGCATTAGCAACACTTGGAGTTTTTGCTCCTACACGAAAACGTGCTTTAACCAAAATTGCACCACGAGCTTTAATTGCTGGTAGTATGGTTTCATTAATGACAGCATCGATTGCTGGTATAAATATGAAAATATATTAGTTCTATTATATGAAAATTTTATTTTTAGGTCTTCTTTATGATGCTCAACATGTAACAATACCAAGAATAAATTCGAATTCTACAAGTGTATAGACTCAAGTTTTTTTTAAATATCTGTACTAAGACTATGAATGATTTATTATTTCGTTTAATTAATTATCCACAGAATTATTTGTTTGATTTGCCGATAATTAAAAATGAACTTTTCTAAATATGATACCTTGCATATCTATTTAGAGATTTTTATGATAATAATCGTAATCAATAATGTGTCAGTTTGTTTAAAAACGAAAATAGTTCTAATCAAGATGTTCTATAATAAAGAAAATTCCTAGGGATATCAAACACACTTTTTTGTAATGATTCATATAGGCTATATTTTCATATCGAATTGCTTGATGATGTCAAATATCAAACAGAAACAAAAAAAGCATTTGTGTTTTAATTAATGTATTATCCTCATAACGGTTTTAGAAGAATCACTAATAAAACAACTATTGCATTAGATTATTAGCCTCTTCAATAGGTCAACACTATAAGCAGACCAATTGCGTGCGCCTTTCTATAGATAGAGTGATTAGGCCATCCCAGTGGCCACTTTATGTCGTACAATCTCTAGTGGAACTTATTCGTATGAAGATTTTGAAATGCATTTTATTCTATAACAACAACTTTCGTCGATGTTTATCACATAGCACATCATCAATCTATATCTCAAGGCTAAAACAAAATAATAAAAAAACAACAGATCGTCTTTTTATTAATCATGTAGTCATTTTTTTACAAGTCGTATGTCTAGTAGGCAGTAACGATACAAGACATTATTTTGTCAATTGGTAGCTTAGAGTATTCTCTACACACAATGTCCAAAAAACTTTTTTAATATTACACGTTTTGTATTTTCTGACATTTTCATAATATAGTAATTCCTATTGCAATTAGTCTGCACCAAAGATTGATGGGACAGCTGAAAAGGCACTCCACCAACGCTCTGTCACTACCAATTCTTTAAAGCTCTGCATCATTACTGTCTCGCTTCACTCCGTCTTATCAAAAACAAGCATGAAAAGGGAGGTTTTTGAAAATTGTTTGAGCATTCAGGCTACATACATACTGTCACAAATTTGCATGCATTTGGTCATTTGGGTAGTTTTTAACTACATTAAAAAGTTCTAATAACCATTGATTTACATGGCAACGAAATTATTTCGTGCCTATAAACTTAAATGACGGCATGTTACTGCAAGATATGAATAAGAAAAGCTGGATTTTACCATTCAATTAGATATTAAGACAATCAGAAAAGTCCAAACTCATTAATTTGGATCTGGCTAGTTGTTTTAACTTGTTTTCAATGTCAAGCTACTCTTTATAATATTTCGGATCATTTTGCGTTCATTCATTAATATGTGACCATTTCTATTGATCACATCAGATTTATCTCTGTAAAAGATCTTGTAAAGATCTTCTCAAGATTTTAATATCTCAAGATCATGCGAAAACACATCAACTTTAATTATCTGTTTCTAAGATATTGACTAGGACAAAAAGTGACATCGTAGATTTAACTACGCGAATTCTCTTTAATATTTCCTGATTTAGTCACGGGAAAAAATGCTCAAAATGGTTCGTGCATGAAATTTGATGTAAATAAAAAATTTCAGTAGTGTAGGCTTCTGTGCACCAATCAGATTATAGAAGTATAAAACAAAGTAAAGGGGAATACACAGTAGACTTACTCGTATACTAAGAATTTGTTTGAATATCTTATGCAACCAATTTTATTGTAGCTTCATGTAGTTCGGTAAGTTTTTGTTGAAAATATGATTGACAACAAATTCTAAGCTTTGACAACGATAAGCATATGATATTCTTTTTTAGATAATCTTTTAATTTAAAACAACGAAATATAATATTTTTTAAATTGTATGGCTAATGGAATGTTTTAAGATATGATTTCTTCATTTTGATATGCTGTTTTTTATTGTAATTTTATTTCATTTAAATCAATCTGTGTAATGTGAGATATCTTTTTTGTTTATGCGAATGATTTTCGTCTATTTCGAATAAATTTATTGTAGCAGTTTTACTAGTGAACGACTATGATAAAAAAGATTTTGTATCTTCGAATAGAAACCGGAATAGTAAATAAAGAGAAAACAAAAGATTATTTGTAACATCTTGGAAATGTTGAATTCTAGTATCTAAGATACAATTATCTGTGCAAAAGATCAATGAATAAGATCATAAAAGACAAGATATTGTGTAAAAGATCTTGAATATCTGTTACTAAGATCTAAACTATCTGTTCCCAAGATCTAACCACAGATCTTGTCGCAAGATAATACAATTATCTTGTACATAATTTTTCAAGATCTACTAACATTTTTGTACCTTGGATCTTGGTCAAGATCTTGCTTACAAGATGTTTCACTAGGGTGAAGTCATGTTCCCTTTGTTCGTCCACGGTGCAAAGGTAGCATATCTACATTACTTTCCGAAAATGTAAATAAAATACTTATTATTTACTTTAGTCGAATAAATATAACAAGATACAATGTATCGATTTTTGTTTAGACAAGTGAATCATGCATATATCTCTTTGGAAATGATGGTTTGGCGACCGATGAGCACAAAAATAATCAACACCAGAACTTTGAGCACCGAAAAATTAAGTATGTAGAAAAGGGTGTGTGTGAATGTGGACGTAGATTTCTGTGAAAGAACGACAAACACATACCTCATCCACACTCATATCTACGTTCGACACCCGAGCGCTCTGGATATCGTTTGTCACGGTTTGTAAAGGAGAAGGGAAGGATACAAGGTCTCACTCCACTATACTTCAACACCCCTTTCAGATCATGCATCATAAAATGTACTCTCTTGTATTTCTAGTCATGACTAATTATTCTGTTTCTGTTCATCAAAATTAATAATTGAAAGGAGTTTGCACTGATTATGATTTTCTTATTCAAATTTTTATCTTTGATCTCATCCATATATACATTTATTGATAAGTCAATAGACTTCATATTTATCCTATTTACTTTTAGCGTGCTCATCGTTCTAGTTTTTGAAAATGATACAGTTCGTATATCTTTTTTTCTACTTATAAGTACTCATAAAAGAAGTTGTCTTACAAGTAGTGAAGGATCATTTAGACTAATTTTTTATTAAACTTTGACGAATTAATAAACCGTTAGTTTTAATAGTGAATGAATTATTGAAATATTAATGTTATGTTTAAGCTTTTCTAGTAAGATTTATTTTCATTTAAAATTAGATGATTAAACGATTGAATCGATAATTAAATGATTTACACAGATGATAAAAGGATAATTATTAACAATATATGAAAGAAAAGAGTAACAGAATAATGTAAAGAATAGTGAAATGTGTGACTGAACGAAGCAAGTATTAAAAAACTATTCAGTGAAGAAAATATTTGTAACGAATAATGAACGGATCTCTATATTCAATGGTGCATTAAACATAAACAAAACTACAGCATCATTTTTGTCATCAGTATTCTTTGATAGACGGAAAAGATTCTATTAAAACAGAAGTCTAACAAAGAACTTTGAGTCCATTTCTTGAAACATAACTGAGTCATAAAACTTTTATCTGTCATCGGTCTACTGTTAACTCATCTTCAAAAACACTAGGAAAATTAATTTACGAATTTTGACTTAAAAAATCTGAGATTTTCATAGTGTATACTGTTCCCGTAGCGGTCTGTTCCTTTGCGATGTTTCAAATTGAAATTGAAAAAATCCTTTTTTCTAATGTCCTTCAGATCGACCACAGACATTGACTTCGAATCTATCGTACAAATCCAATATTTTCACAAAACTAAGCTATCGATTCTAAACACTATTTCAGAGCATTTATAGTCATTTAGAATCAACAAAACGTATATCGTTCAAACTCAAAATCGATTGTTCAGTTGGTGGACTGTCTTGCTCTCTATTACAGTTTTGTCTTTACCATCAATTTTGTTTTTTCTATTATATATTAAAATAAATACCGAGATTTATTATAAAATTCGAAAAATCTTGTTGCATAACTTGTATCAACAGGATATATAATTCTAGAAGCGATTTACATCAATATTATTATAAATACTATGATTCAGCGTCATTATTTTGATTCATAACATGCCACAAAGCAACGATGACATCATTCTAACTTTTTTTTCATGATTTCTAAGGATTGCTATTATTATGTCGTTCATAGTTATCCTTTACTCTCGTTTGTTTATTGTAACATAACTATGAAACGTGGCATTATCGATGAATAATTTCTATTATAGAAATCACGATGACTAATTCAATGATAGTAATTACTCAATTCCAAAGCAACATATTCCTATGTAAAAAAGAACAAGGCCATAGTATGAAGAAAAGAAAAAGAGAAAAATATTGCCACAACATTGACTTATATATATATAGCAGTAGAAAAGGAATGAATTAAAAAAGAAATCTAAGAAAAATAAATATGGTTTTATTACGTAAAATAAAGAGAGGACGTCGTGCTATTGTTTGGAAATTTAACGGTGATGCTACCTATATCGATGGACCAAGTTTAGCAGTTGTTTGGCCATGTATTAATCGAATTCAACCATTATTAATGCATCAAGCTAATGATATGCAATATTTAGAAATAAAATATGTTGATGGAACAACAGATATTAAACCTGGTCCAGTAGCATTATATGATGATCCGTTAAAAATTGTTTCAATTTTAACAAAAGATCTAATTACTCTTGATGCAAATGAATTATTAGTTTTATATACACAACAGGAAAAAGAAGAAAATAAAGACAAACAAGGTAAATAAATTATTTTTATAAAAATATACCATGACTTTTATATTCATAGATTTATCATCCATGCGTCATATTATTAAAGGTCCAACACTTTATGCACCAAAACCAAATGAATGGATTCATGAATTTACATGGCATGGTGAAGATGGAACACATAAAACTCATATTATACCTGGTGCGAAAAAATTTCAAAAACTTCGTCTTATTCCTGATCAATTCTATTATAATATAACTGATGTTCGAACATCTGATGATGCCTTAATAACTGTTAAATTAATGATATTTTTTGAATTAATCAATGTTGAAACAATGTTAAATAATACACATGATCCAATAGCAGATTTTGTAAGAAAAAATTTCTTTTTTATTTATTTCATATTTACTGAGAAAAAAAACTATAGATCAATGCAGTATGTGCTGACGTAATTGCATTTGCATCTGTACGAAAATATGAAACATTTCTTGAGAATGCTAATCAATTAAATCAATTAGAAACTTATCCACAATTAATAACTAGATCTGAAACAATTGGATATAAAATAAATAAAGTTGTTTTTCGTGGTTATCAAGCATCGGAAAAGCTTCAAGTATGATTATTAATTAACTCATTTCTTTATTTTTTCTTTTGTCTTGAAAAATTTAGTTAATGAATGACAATGCAATTCAAACACGAACTAAATTAAGATTAGAAGATGAATCTGAACGGCAAGTACAATTATTAGAAGATTTAAAATTAGAAAAACGCTTCGAACGATCACAAAAAGGTAAGTTGCCGACAATTTGAAATTCAAGAAAATTTTTTTTTAACTTTCTATGTTATGGTCGGATAGGGTTCGTAGAGTTATCTATATATGTGTTGTTCTTGACATCTTCGAACGATATTTTTTTTAGTGAAATCAAAATTTACAAAAATCAGGAAAACCTATAAAAAAATGAAATACGTTAAAAGCATCAATATTTAATCTAATATTTATGCTTATGATTTTATTCTTCATATAGTTAATAAGTCATAAATAAGAGTTTGTTTTGAGAGATTTTAACCATCAAAACTGTTATTCCAAAAGCATCGAATATCAATATTGAATATTCAAAACTAATTTTCGTCAAATTTCGCTCCTGATGCCCTCTTATGTTTATTTTCAAATTTTCTGACTGGTGCTCATACCTGTCTGACCAGCCCAACTGAGAGTGGCGTTAATAAAAATATATTTCTTTTACAAAAAAAGATTTTTGCGTCATGGAACTCGACAATGGCTGTGATCATTTATTAGAACATTCTAACAAGCTTATCGTCTTAATGATCATAAAGTTGAATAATATCAGACAATTCTAATACTAGAGTTGCGTTGAATCACTTATTGAGCCGAAAGGATAAAATATAAGTTTGTATGTACTTTTAATTCTTGAAGACTATAATTTATCAAGACAAGCTTTCATCCATAAAATGTCCAGTGATCAATTGCAAAGACCCATGTAAGAAATTTGACGAAAAACTAAATTAAAATCGATTTCAATTAGATTTTTTCTAGTTTTTTACTTGTTCAATATATCTTAGAATAAAACCCTCTATTTATGATGTTTTGTAGTCGTATACAAAAAACGCTCTTCTCAAGCCTTAAACAATGTTCTTTAACAAACATGCATAATGTTTTTTCCTAACTACATGAACAATAAAATCAAGAACAATATTTGAATAGATATTAAGGCTACTGAGACTTGATGCTTTCAGCGTATTTCAATTTTTATAGACTTCTCTGATATTTTTAATCTAATTTTCACAACCAAAATATCGTTGGGATATGTCAAAAACAGCATTTCTATAAGTAACTTGACGAACTGAATCCAACAATGACAAAAAAGTTCTAAAATTGTGAATTATCAGTACGTTCCTTTTTTATTGCTAATAATTTTCTTTAAAAAAAAAAATAGAACGAAAAATGGAACTTGAGCAAATGTTACATAAATTGGACATGGTTAAACAACAACATGCAAGTCATTTACAAAATAAAGAAGCTGAAAATCAATTAGAACGACAACATCAACAATTATTGCATGAAGATGAAACTAAATTTTATCAACATTTAAAAGAACTTGGTACAGATATAACACAAGTTATGGTAGCACAACAAAGAAATCCAGATAAATTAATTCATATTGTTAATGATAATGATAAAAAAACACAAAAAACATCAGCAAATATTCAATTTGTAGATAATATTTAAATATATTAACCAATTAAAACATCTATCTTTCAAAAAACTAAAGATAGATTATATTATTATTTGTTTAACAATAAAGGGTGCCTCCCCTTTTTTTTTTTGTTGATTGTTTATAGTTCACAAAGATACTACGACTACTCAAGCTGTTTCTTTTTGGGTGTAAGTTCTATCTTGAAACGCTGTATCGTCTTCGAGCATGAGAAACGGTCCCGAAAAAAAAAGAAATAGTATCCTTCAGAGAAAGAAAATAGTTTATATTTACTTTATTTTTTTAATATGATGAAAAAGAATTTTATGAATTTTGTAAAGCTTTCATTCGATGATGTCTTAACTTGCTATGCTATTTTAAATAAAACAGGAACAATTGCTAATTGTTTATCTTGAAATTTTTCACAACTTTTATTTGATCGATTCATTCAAATTTTTAATCAAGTAACAATAGATTATGTTTAAATATTCCCAAAAGAATATTTTTTTTCTCCGAAGTGAGGAAAATTTAATATGTTCGTTAGAATTGATACTCTTTCAAAATATGTTTTATTAGACTAGTAGATTATGATAATCTGTGATGGATGAATTTTATTTTATCAAGTAAATGAAAAGAAAAGAATGCCAAAAATGAGATATAATATACAAAGGTACATATATAGCAGAAAAATAGAGATGAAGAAAGAAAAATACTATGAATCATGAGTACCAATAATACCGAGAAAAAAAATAAAAGATAAAGTTTATTGAGAACAACTAGGAAATGGTGACCATGCTCCTGTCGAAAGGCAAGTAATATTAAGAGAACCAGGTGATGACTTGAGAATATAACCAGATGCACATCGAAGTTGAATCCAACCACCAGCAAGAATACCACCATTACCAGCATAAAGTGATCGTGATACTATTTCCACATTAACAAGTGCTGATTGTAATTGATTGACTGGACAAGAAGGACTTGCTAAAAAAAAAGTTTATACTATACATTCGACATTGACTTCGATATGAATGACATACCAACACAAATAGGAAGTCGATCCCATACACCGTTCGTACACCATACCACAAGTTGACCTGATGTGCTTACATATGTATATCCAGGGTTACATTTGAATTCAACTTTTCTTTGGTATGTATTATTAGAGTACTGAATAGACGTCGCCGATGATACATAACTATTAGCAACAATCGGCACTTCAGTACATTTTAATGATGATGGTCTAGTCGTTACACTACCTGAACCGGCCGCTAAAACATGAGAAAGATAAAAAAATTGATCAAAGTTGATAGCATTTTTCTCCACAAATTACCGACGCAGACAGGTTGTGGTGACCAAACTCCATTTGTACATGTGATTACCGAATTACCTACAAGAGCATATGGTGGTGTACACATGTAACTAATATATGCTCCAGATATAGCTTGAGTAGCAGTCGGCAACATAAGACCATTCGAAGAACTGGAATAACCATTTGGTATAGTCATTAGACTAGGATTATAATTACAAGGTGCTCCACTATTTGGAGAAACTGTTGTTGTCTGCGTACTCAAGACACAATTAGGGAAAGAACTCCATGAACTACTTGCAGAACATGTTATATTTAAACTACCACCCATATT